AAAAAAAAAAAAAAAAAAAAAAGGGTGTTTCATGTTTGGTTTGAGAGCATAAATTCGAAAGAAAAAGCATCCTTAATTCGAAAGCATATCCCTTTATAGTTTATACGAATACCACCTCCCCAATTAAGCAACTTAACTCCAAGTCTTACTCAACACCACCAGCGGAGATGGGTCTCCGGCGCACCCCCCTCCTCCTCCTCCTCCTCATCCTCCTCCAATACTTCTACTAAGAACTCTTGGGTTTTTTTTTTCCTACATTATATTGAATATGCTAAATATATACCATATTTACAGCGATATAGTGAGAGAATCAGTATGATTCCAAATTTTTGTGATTATCTCCCACAGCAACTCTGCTTGTGAGGGAAGGCCTCATTGTGACAATGGCTGAATCATTAGCCCCAGCTTTAAGAGCAGCCTTTGCAGCTTCCAGGAACCTCCTCACTGCATCTTCTGCATACCTGTTTGCTTCTTTCACTGTCATGGTCTTACCAATGTTTGGATATGAGTTGAGTACATAATCACCATTGAGCTGAGATGCAAGCTGAATCAATTCCATTTGGAATTCTGAAAGTCTCGAGTCTTCTCTTGGTCCATGTGACCTTAGTGTCTTTATCTCCGGAAGAGTTTCTATATAAACAATCATATTGGAAATAATGTAAAAACATAACAAGGGAAATAAATAAATTAATTAATCACTAGCACCAAACGGCTCTAAAGAGAAAAAGACAGATCCGAAGGTTTGTGCACTAAATTTTGGATCTTTATAGGTACAAGTGCACCGTTGATGTTTCAATATACTTCCAAATCTGGTTTTTAGATGAAGACAGAAATGGAAACTTACTAGCTTTTTCTTGCTGCAGTTAGCATGCAAGTCACAGGAAATTTCTAAGACTGCATTCTGGCATGAATTGCCATGGATGGAAATTTCAGAGTCTATTGCTCAATAAAATGCATAGATAATATTGGTGGAGGAGGGAAACCAAAATTTGGAATTTGCTCATATCCCAATACATATCACAGTTCTTACTTAGAACGTAGATAATGGATGTAGAACCAAACACGCACTGAAGCACATATAGTTCAAAAGGCATTGATTTTGCTCCCATACATAACAGAATACCCAGAATGCTGAAATCAGATGTAACTATGAAAGAAGTAGATGCAAACCTGGACAATCATCACGAGGAGTATCTCGAATGTAAAAGTATTTTTCAAAGGTACCAGCCCATGCATCTCTTTTTGTCAAGAAATTGGATTTCAAATTGAAAAGCTTCTTTACTGTGGCAGGAATAGACGAATGTTCATATTGAGAATATGGAGTTGGACCCTCTGCTTCATGAATCACTGCAAAATATAAAAATTAAATTATATCAAGAGGCATATCACGATTCTTATATGTTGCAATTGAGTAAAAATACTTCTCATTATCATCTCATATATTCCATATTTGGCTCAAGCAATAAGCTACTATCTTACCGATCATCAATCAAGTCCATAAATGCTTAAACTAGTTTATTACCCCTCACATGAATCTACGGACTAGGGGCATAGATTGTCTGATAAGTGAGAACTACAGTATACACAAAGATGACCGAAACTAGTTTTCAGTATATTACACAAGTACATGAAGAATCAAGTTATATTAAATAGATAGAAGAGTAATAGAAAATTTTTAATGATTTCCCTCCCTTTTTGCAGAAAATTTGAGAAGACAGAGTTCCACAGCCATAGTTGTGGTTCTGGAGCTATAGTTGTGGAAATCTGGGGAGAAATCAGAAGGTCAGAAAGTTGCAGCTATAGTTGTGGTTCTGTAGCTATAGCTGTGGAAATTTAGAATGCTAATTTATGGGTCCAGAGACTTGAAGCTAAATTTGTGGGCTCATAGCTAGAGCCATGGAGCACTAATGATCAAGAGAAAGCACCAGAGAGTCACAACCATAGTTGTGAAATTCACAGCTACAGCGTTGGAGGTTCCTTAAGCTCGAAGGAGTTTCCACAGCTATGGCTATGAAACCACAACTGCAGCGGTGGGATTAAAATCATGTTTTCTCCCCTGTTTTGATGGAGTTAGGTTGAAGCAATGAATGGATTCTTGCTTCTTGTGACCTTCTCCGAATATGAAGACCTTTTCCTTGAGCTTGCTACGGATTAAAGGATGGAAGAAGATGAATGGAATGGTAGGAGAATTCCTAAGCTAAGGATGGAAGCATCCAAGCTAAAGATCCAAATGAAAGCTCACTTTCAAGCTTAGGAATGGAGGTTTTCCTAAGTCTAGGGTTAGTAAGATTTCGATGACTCTTGGAGAGAATTTGGCTGAAGTGAAACTCAAAAATTCTCATTAATCAAAAGTGTTTACAATAGTGAAGGAGTCAAGAATTTAAAGCCACAGAACAAAGGAGTCTTTGGAGCCATCACATGTGCACTCAAAAGTGGCGCCAATTTTGAATTCAAATTTGAATTTAAATTCAAATTGAATGTCCACTTATCCTAACCCATGTGCAGCCCTTCCTTCTAGATTCTTAATTGCATTTAGAGGTAATTTAGGGTTCATTTGAATGTATACATGTGCAGCCACCTTTGGCACAAAACATGTGACTCAAATGAAACTCTAATTACTCCTAAATGTAATTAACATTCTATGGTTCATGATTTAATACTTAATCCTTCTAAATTCCTATTCTAATGGCCTAAATACAATGGCCAAGCAAATACAATGGAAAAGAAAAATTACAAGAATTGAAATGAGTCCAATATTGGGTACCAAAAGCCCAAAGGCCCATGAAGCCCAAAATTAGGCCCAATAAACCTATAGTCTAAAATGCTATCCTAAATGGTCCAAAATACAAGACCCAAAATATAGAAAAACTATACTAACATGATATATACAAGACATAAGGAAAATAGCTAAAACAAGATATGGCCCATGAAAAGCACAACTTGGGCCTTTCAAGCCCATCGGGCCCATTGGGCCTTGACTGACCCAAACCTTCATGTCTAGCCCATTCCTCTTGGCTCTTTCAATGTGTCACCCCTTGCCTTCCTAGGCATGATTCCATCATGTTTGAAGCGAATATAAAAGGGGGATTGAAGGGAGAAAAGAGGAGAACAAAAAAACAGAGCAAAAACAAGATCGGGAGCACACGAAGGGGGAAGAACAGAGTGGGAACGAAGATTTGGAGGCTGGATCACTTGGGAACGAGGATCAACTCCTTTTCTTCATCTCTTCCTTTGTAATTTCTTCTTCTACTCCTTTGATCTTGTAAATGGCCATGAAGGGCTAAACCTTTTGAGGATTGGTCTTGGTGTAACTACTAACTCTTCTATTTCTTAAATCTATATATGCATTTCATCCTCATTACTTGTGCTTGATTCTACTTTTAATGCTTATATCGGCTTGATCACCCGTTGTATGAATTTTTGGTTTTGAATCCTATTGGAAAACGTCTTTGAAAACCCGAACCAAATCTTGCATCTAATCATCTCTTGTTCTAGAGATAGACTTGATATGGTTAGTCACTATTGTTCAAGTCATTGTTCTTAATGTAAAGTGTTAATCTCAAAACATAAAGGAATCATGTTTTAGATTAATTACTTTAGGATTCAACTTTGAGGAATCTTGTTGAATTACTAACTGAACGTGGAAGTCATGAAGTTGAAATCATATTTATTTTAAGGAAATTTAAGGGTTAGCAAGTGCTCCAAGGTCCAATCCTTATTTCATATAATTGTTCTTATAACTTTTACATTACCGTTTTAATTTTGCTTCACATTAGCTCACTTCCAATCATATCAACGTCTTTATATTAATCATTAGATAAGGATTACTAAATTCTCAAATCCTTGAGGACGATACCGTATTTCTACAACGAAACTTGGTCCGCTTGCCAAGTGGAGTGTTATCTAAAATCTCATCAAGTTTCTGGTGCCGTTGCTGGGGATTTGGTGCTATTTAGTAATTCTTGTTCTTGTGATTTTGTAATTGTGTAAATAATTCATTCTGTGAATATTTATAATATATAGATATATTTGTCTTGTTGTGTTTTGTGGACTCACCTATTTGTGCAGACTTCTTGAGTTCTATGCGAGGGAAGACTCCAGCCGAGGAATTACATTTTGACCCTGAAATTGAAAGAATGACAAGGTGGAACAACAGTAGGACAAGAAGGCTTAGACAGTTGGAGAGACTCCAAAAACAACATCAAGATCTTCCGAGTTCTTCTACTTCATCAAATCAACCATTCCTCGAATTAGAGATGGCTGAAGAGGGAATAGGAACTCATAATGGTGGACATGGACCAGCCACGCCTCCAAGAAGCACCCTAGGTGATTATGCACAACAACATGGTCCTAGGCATTTCTCTAGTATTGCAACTCCAAATACTTCTAGAGCTATGGAGATGAAGCTTGCCTTCCTTACTTTGGTTAGCTCACAACAATTTGCTGGCCTTGATCATGAAGACCCATACTCACACCTTTCAAATTTCTACAAACTATGTGGAACAATGGGAATTCCTGAAGGTGATGAGGAAGTTGTATACTTGAGGTTGTTTCCATTTTCTCTGATAGGAAAAGCTAAAGTTTGGTTACAATCTCACCCTAATCAAAGTTTGACAAGTTCGGGTGATGTGGAAAATAAGTTTGTTAATAGATTTTATCCATCATCCAAGTATATTAAGGCTAAATCAGAATTCACAACTTTCAGGCAAGGTGCAGATGAACCATTTGTGAAGCCTGGGAGAGATTTAAGTTATTGCTTAGAAAATGTCCTAACCACAGGTTTGAAGATATAGCTCAACTTAACTTTTTTGTTAATGGAATCAAGCCTGAGGTGAAGATGTTATTAGATGCAGTAGCTGGTGGCACCATGATGACTGTGGGCCCAAATGAAGCTACTTTTATAGAATCTTTGGCATATTTTGATCACCAAGCAGAGCATGGAAGACACCAATCTCATAAAAGAGGAGTTGTTGATCTAAGTACTAGTGATGCAATCCTTGCTCAAAACAAGCTACTAGCTCAACAGATCAAAGCACTAACTAAGCAGATGGCCAAAATACCACAACAGCTTCATGCTATTGCTTCTTTCCCAGCTCAATCAAATGCTTCTTTAAAGTGTGATTTTTGTGGGGGAGAATATCCCAATGGTCACTGTTTTAAGAACTCAAATGAAGAAGAGGTCAACTATGTGGGTAACCAATAGAAAAGAGGTAATTTTAATTCCTATAATTATAATACTAACAATTATATGTAGGGGAATCAAGGTTGGAGAAACAACGACAACCAAGGATATGGATGGAGGAATGAAGGTGGACCATCCAATAGACCACCACAACAACAACAACAATAGCCTATTTATCCTTCTATGCGTTAAAGAACCAGTAAATTAGAGGAGACTCTGAACCAGTTCATGGAGGTGTCTATGAACAACTAGAAAAATACTGAGGCTTCCATCAAGAATTTGGAAGTACAGGTGGGTCAGCTAGCTAAACAATTAACTGACATGTCTGGAGGTCCATTTTCAGCCAACACCAAGACCAACCCCAAGGAGCATTGCCAAGCAATAACAACAAGAAGTGGGAAGGTAGTTGGTGGAGATGTTGGAGTGAGTGACAAAAATGAAAAGAAAGAAAATGTTTAATTGAGGGAGGTTGAGGAAGAGATTGAGAAGAATGAGGAAGAAAACAATAAAAATGAGAGTGTAAATAATGAGAAAATAAAATAGAAGAATGGATTTGAGAAGGAGAAAAATAAAAAGAAGGGCAAGGAAGTCATTTTCACTGTTCCTGTAAGAAACTTACCTTACCCTCATGCTCCTTCTAAGAAAGAAAAAGAAAGGCAGTTCTTGAGATTTTTGGATATCATAAAGAAGTTCTAGATAAATATTCCCTTCACTAAATCCATGGAGAAAATGCCCACTTATGCTAGGTTCATGAAGGAGTTGTTAACTAAGAAGAGAAAAGTCCTTGAAGCAGAGATTGTGGAGCTTAAAGCAAGATGCAGTACTAATATACAGAAGTCTTTACCTCAGAAATCTAGGGATCCAGGCAGTTTCACTCCCCTTGTATCAATTGGTAATTTATCAGTGGGTAAGGCACTATTAGACCTTGGAGCCAATATTAATTTAATGCCATTATCCATGCTAAAGAAGATTGGAGAAGTGGAAGTAAGACCTACAAGAATGACCTTGCAGTTGACAGACAGATCCATCAAGCTTCCACATGGCATAGTGGAAGATATGATAGTGAAAGTTGATAATGTCATGTTTCCTGTTGATTTCGTAGTCATGGACATGGAGAAGGACATTGAGGTTCCTTTAATTTTAGGTAGACCCTTTAGGAAGACAGCTAGAGTTATTATTGACATGGATGATGGAAAGATGAAGGTGAGGGTCCAAGATGAAGAGGTGAATTTCAATGTATTTGAAGCAATGAAGTTCCCTAAGGGCAATAAAGATTGTTTTAGAATTGATGTATTAGATGATGTGTATCTGGAAACTCAAAATAATTTCAAGAATTCATCACCATTGGAGAAAGCTTTGTCTATGCTTGATGAAGAGTTGGATAAAGCCATAGATAAGGAAGTTCAGGATGTGATTGATGCATTGAATAAAGGTGAA